TACTGAAAAATTCACAGTGAATTAGACTGAATTAATCATAGTGAATGAATCACTGTGGATAGTGTCACAGTTTAACACATGTAGAGTCACAGTTTAAATGAAAGAAATACGAATTGCGTGCATAGTAACAGGAGAAAGTTTGAAAATCAGAATCGATAAGTCACAGTTCATAGTTAACTGAATAAGTCACAGTGAATGAGTCACTATAAAAAGATAATGCAAATAGATCGTTGCGAAAAAGTCAAATGTGATTGGCCACACAGTGATGGGATTAGAGTGAGTGAGTCACAGTGATAGAGTCGCAGCTTAACACATGAAGAGTTACAGTTGATATGAAAGGAATACGAATATCATGAATTGGAACAGGAGAAAGTATCGAAATCAGAGTGAATAGATTATAGTTCATAGCTAAGTCACTGTGAATGAGTCACTATGAAAAGCCAATGCGAATATATCAACGCGAAGAAGTCAATTAGCTCACACTAGGAAATTCACAGTGATAGGACTAAAGTAAATCAGTCAGAGTGAATGAATCACAGTGATAGAGTCGCAGCTTAACACATGTACAATCACAGTTACAATGAAAGGAATACGAATAGCTTGAATAGTAACAGGCGAAAGTTTCACAAATTCAAAGTCAGAGTGAAACTATTATAGTTCATAGTTAAATGAATGAGTCACAGTGAATGAGTCACTTAAGCTAATGCGATTATTGTGAAAAAATCAGATGTGACTGGGCCGCACTGCGAAATGCACAGTGATAGAGTCACAGTTTAAGGAAACACAGTGATGTTTGATGCAGATTTTAATGCCAGATTTCTTCAGTCACAGTCACGAGCACTGTTCACAGTCACAACTTACGTCTATGAATATCGCCATTATCAATGCCATTCAATTAGCTAATTGGCTGGACGAGCAGAGCATCGAGCTGCTGGTTAGGCTCTCAGCCGTCTTCCTTCAACTGTCTCAGACGTCGCAGCCTGTCTCTGCCACGCCTTTCCTCGCTCTCTCCCCCCGGCCGCCTCTCAAGTGTTACACCCCCCATTTTTTGGGCGCTATCCATCATAGAGTCGGACCATTCGCAGTTCAAGAAATCATTTGCGTTTTCAGCTCTCACCTTCCCCCAGACCCCGGCGAGTCAGCCGGCCCGCACTCTCCTGCCCTGGCAGCACCCCTTTCTGGCATCCGCTGCTGATGCGTTTCGCATGCTGATCCTGGCGACGTCGTCATGTTGACTTTTCCATTTGCCTTGGCAATTTTCTTGCACTGAGCTTTTTTCTTTGAACACGGCGCGTCGCGGCTTTTGCCTACGCGCGCTCCTCGTATCCTGCGGGCTTTGTTTATCCATCTATTTGTATAAGCTGCATGCGTGTGTCTATGCATGAGTGTGTGTGTGTGTGTGCGTGTGTATTCGTGGTGTTTGCTTACATGTGTAAATTACTTTTCAATCTTGTGATTACTTTCTTTTTTTTTTGGCATTTAATTATTTTAATTACGGCCCAGCGCACAGGCAGCTACAAATTCGGTTCAGCTCCAAGGAACCAGTTCATCTTTAATTGCAAGTCTGGCTGGAGCACAGCAAATAAGTGTGCTCTGTGCTCAACACATGCAAAGTGAGGCGAGGCGCGACAGTCGTCGCAGGCGTCCTTTATAGCGAGGTCACACTGTGGCAGATATAGGAAATTAACTCAGTCATGAGAATAGCTATCGACACTTTAGCTAAGGCGGTCTTACAGAATCGACTCTATATCTATTTGCTTAACTTTTATATATGTATATTTTATAATTCATATGACGAAACCAAATTTGATAGATCGTAGAATCTGTTGAGAGTTAAATTCGAATGGACATAGAACATCTCTCAAGTCTTATGCAATCAATGAACTAGTTCATTTTATACTTCCACGAAGAAGCAATATAAGCACTAACTAGTCAATGAACTAGTTCAATTTGGATCGTTAGGGCACACAAATTGTATTCAACATGATATTCGATCAATGAACTAGTTCCATGTGTACCTCGACGAGAATAGATTCATTTCTAATTTGTATTCAATGAACTAGTTCCATTTACGCCCAGGCAACAATTCCAATTTGTATTCAATATTATAGGCGTTCAATGAACTAGTTCCATTTGTGCCTCGACGACACACGCTTCCAATCCAATTTGTATTTAATGTTATATTCATTTATGAAACTAGTTCCAGGCAACAATTCCAATTTGTAGTCAATGTTATGGTAATTCAATGAACTAGTTCCATTTACGCCCAGGTAACAATTCCAATGAACTAGTTCCATTTACGCCTAGTTAACTCTTGAATATGCTGTTTGATCGAGGAACTGGTTCATCTATTGGCTCCAAGACACTTGAAGCAGTCCCAAACCTACCTCGCAGCAATTCAAATTTGTAGTTCACTAGTTCATTGGCACTCCTTGGGTATATATGCTTATATACCACATATATTACATAGGTCAAATTCAAATTTCAAATCAATTTCTATGAGCTCTTTAGACTCAGGTAAAGAGCTGTAGGTATATACATATGGGAAAATCTAGCTAGCTTAAAGTCAGCTCAGAAATTTGTTCGGAAAAGTAGTTAAAAATTTAATGCGATTTAAATTTCGTAAAGTTTTCACGCCAAACTTTTGTGAACTGCGAGAAAGTTCAGAACAAAATCGATAGACTACGCACATAACCTCACCAAAAAAAAAAATAGAAGGCCTTTAAATATAATATATGTATATATAAATATATATATGTGTATACATATATTTGATTGTTGTGGTCTATACGAAAATGTCTAGAAAGTTTGTTTGAAACACTTGCAAATATGCCGCGAACTATGCAAAAACTTTCCGTGAACTTTACCCAAAAAAAAAACAAAAAACAAAAAACAAAATTCTAACGGAACTAGTTAATTGGACCTTGGTGCCAAGCAGCGCAATAAGTGAGCTGGTTTACTTGAACTGTGTGAAAAACACCAAAGCTGTGCTCGTTCCTCGGAACTGACTCACAAAGCACAGCGAGTAACTAGTTCATATCATATCAAACGGAACTCAGAGGCGAACTAGTTCCATTTGTAGAACCAAACGGCGCTGATCGTGGCTAATTTGATGGGTTTGCACTTTGCGCCGCTATCGCTGCAGCCGCTGATTCAGTCGACGGCTGCCAAATCACAAAGCTGCGTCACTAATGGAGCGCCAGCAGCAGCAGCAGCAGCAGCAGCAGCTGCAGGCGGCGTCGGCAGCGGCAGCTGATAAGCCATGCATATTCAGAATCGCAATCGGAATTTGAATTTTTGTTTTGTTATTTATTTTTTGAGTCAGTGATCGAGAAATCTACAAAACAAGAAACAACAACAAATTTGACTGCCAATCCAGCTGCGGACGGCGCGTCGCGCGCGTCTGCGGACTGCGCGCGACAACGGGATAAACTCATTTGTGAATACCAGCAGCAGCAGCAGCAACAGCAACAGCAGCAGCAGCAGCAGCAGCAACAGCAACAGCAACAGCAGCAGCAGCAGCAGTTGGCGTCGCTGCTGGAATTTACAATTAGCGTGCAAGAGATAAAAGGCAAATCAGCGCTGAGGGCGGCTGGCTGCAGGAATGCGCTGCGTCTTTTTCGGACAACACACACGCACACACACACACACACAGACACACACACATACGCGCAGAGCGCTGCCGCGTAGTGCGCCGACGCTGTGGCTGGCATACGTGCGCGTATAACAGTTGCCGCAACTGTGCTAAGCCCCAGCGACTGGGGAAAGGCAGGCGCACGAGCACAGCCGACGACGGGTGGCGACTCGTGTTTACTCCGAAAACGCCACAGCTGGGTGTGTGTGTGTGTGCGCGCCGCTGCCGACGCTGGCAGCGGCAGCAGAAATTTGGCTGCAATTTTCATTGCGTTCGAAAGTTCGACAACTTTGGAAAACTGTCAGTTAGCAGCGAACTTAGAACAGGTAGAGACGCACGTTTTCGGGCTTCCTCCTGAGCCAGCTGTATGTAGTCGAAAAAGAAGAAGAAGAAGAAGAAGTCGACGAATAAGCACAAGAAGTAGAAGTAGAAGCAGTGTAAGCAGAAGGCAGTAGACAGAGCAAGAGGACGAAGCATCAGAGTTACGCGAACTTTACGAAGTTTCCTCGCGTCGTCGTCGTCGTCGTCGTCGTTGTTGTTTTTGTTGTCGTTGTCGTTGTCGTGTGCCGAATGACGATTGCATACGCCTCTTAGCGTGTTGTCCCGTCTCACACAGCTCAGCCCCCTCCCGGCCCGTGCCCCACTGCCAATCCCGACGCAGCCGATGCGTTCGCTGCTGGCGCTGCGTCGACGCCGACTGCGCGGCTAACGTGTTTGTGTGACGGCCAGCCAGCCGCTGCCGATGTAAAATTTTATTACCCCAAACGCAACGCAGCAGTCGGTTTTTGGACGTCCGGACTTCACGCCGCCAAAAAGAAATCGCCGCTCAACGGTTTATTGCAATTCAGCCGCGCAGCAACAACAACAAACAACAAAATAACAAAAAGCGAAAAAAAAACGAAGAAACGAAAAAAGGAAAAAAAAACTTTGCGCGCCGCATCAAAAGTTAAAAACAAACTTTTGCCAAACTACGCGACGCGCGCGCCCAACTTAACAAAGTTTCGCCTTGCCTAAGGGAAGCGAACAGCAACAGCAACAGCAGCAGGCAAATGCAACAGAAACAACAACAACAACAACAACAACAGCAACAGCAACAACTACGACAAACAAACAAAAAAATAACGCAAAAATCAAAAAGATTTTAAAGTGAAGTCGTCGCCGTCGCCGTCGCTGTCGCCGCTGCCGTCGCTGACGTCGGCGTCGGCCTAAAACTAAACTCAAAGTCGAGCAAAGTGCGCGCGTTAATTGATATTGCGTATACGCCACGGCAGCTCCAAAACAAAACAATCCGCGACTCCCGTGCGCTTTTTTTTGCCCCCACCCCCCAAAACAAAATTCAAGTGCAGTGCAAAAGCTAAATAGAAATAGAAATACAAATATATATGAGCTAATTTTTTGTTCTTTTTCTCTGTGTGTGTGTGTGTGTGCGCGTGTGTGTGTGTGTCAAGTGCAACATGCAGCATGGCAAGCGTGCAACAACTACAACCAGCCAGCAAAAGTCTCTAAAGTGCAACACACAATAAAATAGGCCCAGCCACAACAGACAACTAACAACTGAAAATACCACAAAACAAATACCAAAAAAAAACAAAGCTAAACCGAATCGCACAATTCTCAAATAGGTAAAGTTCAAATTTTCTCAATCTAAAACAAACTCAAACGAAATGATGAAAAACTCTAAAGCTCGTAATCCAGCCAGGAACTCTATATTTAGTCCATTAGCTAACTAAGTAAAACCCATTAAAATACAAGTAATACCAAAAAATATCAAAAATTTATAAAATATATATATATATATCAAAACAACAAATAGAAATTCAATGCAACAAGAAAAATCACATTGAAATTTTTTGCAAGCTAAAGAAAATACAAAAAAAAAATATATAAACCGAAACGAACCAAAATGATTATGAAAATTTGCCCCAAAATTCTGCATCTTATGCCATTCAAACTACACCATAAACATATCAAAGCCAGTGTTGTCAAACTCTATAATTTATTTTTCTTTGCCAAACAAAATCTGTTGCCCAGCCTCAGGCGGCTGCTCGTTGGGGCTGTGAAAATAAATGTGAAGAAAGTGATTGATAGGTAGATGGGTAGGCAATTGTATATAGCATAGATATATAAGAGATATAGTATAGGAAATTGACGTTAAAGAACCCAACATTGTTTCTACTTACGCCGAGTGCCAAAGCAGCTCCAAACTGCAAATGTTCTTATAGACATAGTTACTACTTGGATTCAACTCATATTCTAGAAAAGTGTAGCACACATATTTGGGCTCAAGATGTCAAGTTGGCCCGAATAGAAGTTGGCCTAAATGAAATAAAGAACTATTCTAATATCTGCACAAGTCGAGATAGGCGAGAACAATTGAAAATTTGTTACATATTTATAGAACTCTTCAGCTAGAGTAGTGCAGCAGCCATGTGATATGGTCTTCTAGCAAATGATCTGCCTTATATTCACATATATATTGCCATACAATAACTAGAGTTCCAGAAGTGAGCGTATTTCTAGTCTCATTTAGATGCGTTAGACCTGCCTTTACAGAATAAATACGAAGACGGTGCTAGAAGTGCCCGATCTCAGATAGAAGACACAAAAACTGATGCAAAATGCTTTTGCTTGCCTCAAGATAGTTTTCTTTTAGCTCTGATATTTTATATAGAAGTAGAAATCATATATCTATATCTGTATTGATAGATATATCTATATCTACGTACCTTATGTGCTACACTCTAGTCAAACTCAAGCTCAACTTCAGTTGAGGCCTATCTGAAGTACCAACAACACCAACGAATATTCGACTTGAATGAAGAACTTGAACTTAGTTCAAAATTTGAAAAAACAAAAGTGAAAAAGTATATTAAAAATATTTTCTTATCGATCACACAAGAAGCTGCTGAGATATTGCTATAAAAAATATTAGCACGCTTGTCGAAACACAATAGAGTTATTTCAAAATAATTTGAATATAGTATGGGAATTTCTAAATTTATTTCAATAAATGATCAAACTACAAAAATACTAAAACAATAATCGGTTTTCGATTACTTGAACAAAAGCTGAGCTATTGCTATGGGTAAAGAAGTAAATAGAGCTTTATCATTTCTTGCATAAAGCTCAGTTAGAGTAAGTAGAAGAATAGTTGGGAAGGCAGTAAAGCTAGAAGGAAGAGAAAAACTTGAATTTATTAAGTCAGTTTCTAGTCGAGATTTTAATGTTGTGTCACTTGATGAAGTCGAGAAAACTTTCATCTATCATATTCTAGTGCATTTTTCGTCTATGAAATGAACTAACTGCTGTTTTTTTGTCAGTGTACAAAATTATGTTTTTTTGACTTCGTTTTTATGTTTAAGAATACATTTTTTATTTTCAAATTAAGAACAAATTATTTTTTCTGAATTTTGTTGATGCAGCTCTTTTATTTGCGTTCAGCTTGCAGCAGCAATTGTTGCTGCTGCGGCTGCTGCATGATAACAATGAATCCACCTGCTTGATCCCAATTCCCACTCGAATAAACTCTCTTATCCCCAAATTTTTTGTCAAATGCTACTAACATTTAGCCGTAAGTAAACAAACAACTAACAACAAAAACCAAAAATACTAAACAAACCAAAAAAAAAATACCACAAAAAATACCAAAACCAATTTTGAGCTCACATGAAAATTTGTTGTTAAGGCATTTTGGCAACTGGCAAACTGGCAAAAATGGCGCTGTCCAAGCGGCCCTTAAGCAAGGAGACGCCCTTGGTCGAGAGCAGCAGCAACAGCAACAACAGCAACAACAGCAGCAACAGCAACAACAGCAACATCAGCAGCAACAGCAATGAGCATGAGACGTCGATAAAGCGACGCAAACGCTGCAGTCGCGATGATGAATTGGCTGTCAGCAACAACAACAACAACAACAACAACACAACCAGCAACAACAACACATTGCCACAGAAGAAGCGACAGTTGGCCAAAACAGCAAGCGGCGAGAACAGCAATCCAACGGCAGCAACAGCAGCTGCCGCAACAGCAACACCCAAAACAGCAGCAACTGTTGCCGCCGTACAAGATGCTGCCGATCAGGATGACGAGGCACTGATACGGGAGACTCAGGCGGCGCTCAAGAGTCTCTCGGGCAGCTGGCCAGATGCGCGCACCAATCTGTATCGCCTGCAGGAGCAGGAGGACGAGAATCCGCCGCCCTTTCAGAATCTGTTCGAGGAGAAGCAAAAGTATGCGAACAGCAACAGCAACAGCAGCAGCAACAACAGTAACAGCAACAGCAATTCGCACACATTGCTGCTGCGCTTTCACAGGCAAAAGGAGAACGATCAGGCGCGCCTCAATGCCAGCAACAACAACATCAGCAACATCAACAACAACAACAACAACAACAGCAATGGCATTGGCAGTGGCAATGGCAATGGCAGCAACAGCAGCAGCAACAGCAGCAACAAAAAGGACGACAACAACTCCGGCTACACACAAGCAACATCCGCCTTCAAGCCGCCCATCGACATCATCAAGCGCAACGGCCAATTGGCCGCTGCTGCTGCTGCCCACGCCCACGCCCAGGCCCAGGCGCACGCCCACGCCCAGGCGCAGGCCTACGCCCATGCACAGTATACGAGCAGCGCCTACAATGCCGCCGAGGCCTACTATGGCTATGCAGCAGCAGCAGCTGCCAGCCAGCAGCAACAGCAGCAACAGCAACAGCAGCAGCAGCAGCAGCACGGCCTCTGCGTCGATCAGAGTCGCAGCTACGAGATGGCGCCGCAGCTGGGCTCGCCCAACGAGCCGCGGCTGGCCAAGGCAGGGGGTAAGGAGCCGCTGATGGATGCCAAACAGTATACGATATTGCAGCCGGCGGGCGTCGGCAGTCGAGCGGCCTCGGTGATGCAGGATATTGCACGTGAGGGAGTTATTGGTGTTGCGCCAACGACGACAGCAGCAACAGCAGCAGCAGCAGCAGCAGCAGCAGTCTCAGCAGTCACAGCAACGGCAGCAGCAGCAGCAGCAGCAACAACGGCGGCGGCAGCAACGGCAGCTGCAACAGCTGCGCCCACAGCAACAGCCACGCCCCTAGCAGCAGTTACGCCCACAGCAGCAGCAGCAGCCGCTGCATCCACGCCAGCGCCCAGCTACTCGCCGGGCAGCCAAAATCGCGGTAAGTTGTTGTCGTTGTTGTTACTAAACACACAAAAAAAAAAAATGAAAAAACAAACAAGCTAATAAAAAAGCTAAAAAAGGCTAAGGCTATCAACAACTCCATTGAACTGGCTAAGCGGCTGTGTTAACGGTAACGGTTCCGGTTCCGGTGCCACTCTCAGTGCCAGTTCCAGTTCCGCTCGTGAACCAAGAACTCCCCACACACACCCGAACCACCATCGATCAACACCTCCACACCCCCCGCCCTTCCAGCCCAACCACACCCACACATGTAATTTAAAGCAAGTGCAAACCAAATCGGAAACAAACATAAAATCGGCGAAACTTCTTGTTGCATTGAGTTTTAAGACAAATTGGCTAAGCAATAACTAGACATAGAGAGTGAGATAGAGATATAGAAAGAGAGAGAGAAAGAGAGAGAGACAGAGAGAGAGTGTGTGTGTGTGTATGTGTGTGTGTCTTACGATCACACATATGTATATTATTCTGCAAATGTTTTCCATCTTCGGCTCGCTGCAGACGCGAGGCCTCTTCAGTTGTTGTTGTTATCATCATTATTATTATCATTATTGTTGTTGTTGTCATTGTTATTATTATTATTATTATTATTATTTGCACATTTAGGCAGCAATGGGCTGTCAACCTCAAGACACCTCCCCCCCCTCCACACAGCTCAGCATCGCTCAAAAGTTCACATTAAGTGAATGAGGGCGTTAGGTGGTTGCCGGTTGTTGGTGGGCGTGGCGCATGATACGTGGTCTACGGCAGAGGCAAGGCAGCTAATGGCTTGTAAAACCCACACACATGCAGACACACAAACACACGTCAGCCTAGAGATGACATAACCAAACAAAATTATAAAACGAAAAATAAAATAAGAAAAAATAAAAATTTTAAAAATATTGAAACTAAAAATATTTATATAACAAAATAATTTTGAGTGAAGTAAAAGTAAGATAAAAAAAGTTTAAAGTAGTTATGAAAAAAAAAAAGATGAGTAATATATAAAAATAAAACAGAAATATCTATTAAAAAGTGTTCTACATAAAAATATTTAAAATTTATCACTAGCAAGTGCAGTTAGCAGTAAAAGAAAAAAACATAATTGTATATAATATATGTATAGTATTAGCTCATATAGGAGAGAGCAAGAGAACCACTAGAAATCTTAAGATAGTATTCGGACATATAGCAAATTGCTTAGCTGTAAAATAAACGTAAATCAAAACAGAACAATATCAAATTAAAGTAAATATAATTTGCTAGCTTAAAAGAATTACACTATTTTGATTTATTTACTTGAATATAACGGTGTTTTTTTTTTTAGATTTTTTTTTAATTTTTAAGAAAGTTGTAGATGGTCTTGAAATGCAACGAAATCGAGAGAGTAGCATTCGCCTTATATAAGTACAACAAACGGTGCTAGCAAACCAGTGTTGCATAATGCTAAAACTTTGAATTCCTGTGATTATGAGACGATATGATCAGTTTCATAAAAAAACATAATATATAAGAAATGCAATTACAACAAAAACAGAATTTTTGAGAGTTTCTTAAACAAAAAAAATTTTTTTTTTTTTATTTTATTTTATTTTTTTTTTTTATATTATTTAAACAGGCTTTTTACTACCTAATTGGCAGCTTATTAGTATTCATTTATCGTTTATCGATAACAATAAGTTTCTTCTATATAATTGAGGGGAACTACATATATATCACATTGCTTAAGCATCTACATAGAATACAGCTAGTGCTCATCGCCTATCGATAACATAACTGATAGCCGATAGCCGATAGCCGCTGAAAAGTCCCTGATTACTTTTAGCATAGCCAATAAACGATTGTTTAGGCACGAGCCAGCGCTCATCTCTAGGCACACACATACACACACACACGCACGCACACTAGTTGAGTGGCTTCTGCTGTTGGTTGTTGGTTGTTGAGCCTTTTTCACTAATTTCAGCGCACATTATACAAATTTTATAAAATTGAACTCTCGTTGTCAAAAAGCGAACAGACAAAACACGTCTACACACGCACACACACACACACACAGAGATGTGAAAGGGTAAATATGAGGCACGTTTTTGGCAACTGCTTTTGCATATTTATTTTGTCATTATGTGCTGGCATTAATATGCTCAGAGCTCTAAAACCTAAAGCCAAGGGCACAAAAGATTCAAGTGCTCTTAAGCCAGGCACAAACACAATCAGAAAACACACACACGCACACACACACACACACACGCACACACTCACAACATATTTTCACTATGGTATTCATATAATTTGAATGACTTTTTAAATAGTTGCCAGAGTGAGGGCGAGAGCGAGAGAGAGAGAGAGAGGGAGAGAGAGGGGTAAGAGTAAGAGATACAAAACTAGTTGGCAAAGGCACGTAATAAGTCATTAGCGTGTTGCCGTTAGCCTTTTTAGCCAGGCTTATTAGGCTTTAGCCTGGCAATACCCTGTATTTGGGCATTGCAGGCGCGTCTCGCTTCATTTTAATTAAATTCTAATTACGACCAAATGAGTTGAGTCGAGTCGAGTCGAGCTGCGTTGCAGTTTGACATTTTGAACGGCCACGTAATAGACACAGACACAGACACACACACACACACACACACACACTCATGCTATGTATATATGCATAAATATTTCGAAAAATATTTCATTAAGCCTCCGCCTCTAGCTGCTGCTGCTGCTGCTGTTGCTGTCTGTTACAGCAGCAACACGAGCGCTGTTTGTGTGTGTGTGTGTGTGCTCTGTGCTGTGACGTTATCTTTGAGAATTTGTGCTTAGAAGGCCAAGTTTAGACGTGGTCTGGTTGATTTTTGGCTGAAAAGTTTTTGTTTTTTATGCGCCCACAACAGCAGCAGCAGCAGCAGCAGCAACTGCTGTCATGTGTGTGTGCCTGCGTGTGTGTATGTGTGTGTGTATGTGCTCTTTTTAAAGTAAATAATGCAAAGCTGTTTTCCATCAAATTTTAATTAATTATTTAGGCTAAAGAATGCGCTGCCTGTCTTTTTTAACATTTAGTTGTTGCTCCTGCTCCTGCTGCTGTTGCTGCTGTTGTTGCTGTTGTTGTTGTTGCCGCTGTCGGCGTGTGCGCCTTGTCAGCTGTACATTTTGCTAGAATATTTTTCTTGCCATGAACATGTCACAGCCCCTTGTACCCTCAGCCACTGCTGCTGCCGCTCCTGCTGCTGCTCCTGCTGCTGCTCCTGCTGCTGCCGTTTGACGCATTCACATAATTAATTAGAAAACCTGTTTGCCTCCCTCGCTCGTTGTCACATTGTTGGCTAGGCATGTGTGTGTGTATGTGTGTGTGTGTGTGTGCGTGTGTCTAGCTGCTGCCTTGATTTGAATTCATTTTGTTACTTGGTTACTTGTAGATGGCGCCAAATGCCCAACTCCTCATTGCACTGGCCAAGGACATGTCACAGGATTATATTCGCATCATCGAAGGTACAACACGCAACACAAAACAGACGACAGACAACAGACATAGCACACACACTCAACACACACACACACTCAACACACACACACATGCTACTCAAGCTCAATTGTAAGCCTTTGTTTCTCTTCCATATACGTCCACGCTTCTCTTGGCCTGGCCAGTTTGTCGGGTTGTCCGAAGCGCGATAAAGTCACAACGGAATGTAAGTGTCCAAAAAGTTTCGTATATTGTAGCGCCTATGTAGATCGATATCACTATTCTCTATAGCCTGTCACTCTCTCTGTCTCTTTCACTCTCTCTCTATCTCTCTCTCTCTCTGTCTCTCTCTCTCTCTTTCTCTATCTTAATATATGAACTACTACCTCTTGCTATGGAGGCCATAATGTCTCTCTCTCTCTCTCTCTCTCTCTTTCTACACTCATTCTCTCTCATTTTCTCTTTCTCTTCCGTCGTAGCATGCTGTCTTCTTAGTATGTGTATGTGTGTAGATGTATGTATGTGTGTGTGATTTGGCTTAGGGTCACTCTTTCTTCCTCTCGTTGTCTTTGAATATCTTTTTCTCGCTCTTTCTCTCATTGAATTTCTCATTCTTTCGGTCTACCTCTATGACAATTTCATTCTCTTTCACTGAATTTTCTTCAAATCTTTATCTCTCTGTTTCCTAGTGACCCCTTCTCGGATTCAGAATCTCTGAACCTTTTTCTATATCTCCGTCTCTTTCTCTCTTCTCCTCATTGTCCCTTAAACCCTAAATCTCTCTCTCTAAATCGGTTTTTCTCCATCTTTCTCTATCTGAATCTCATTCTCTCTATCTCCCTCACTCTCTCACTCCCTCTCTCTCTCTATTTCTGAACTCCTCTCTTAGTGCAAGACTCAGTTTCTCTCTTTTTTTTCTCCCCCACCTCCTCTTTCTCTATTAGAATTTCTTACTGAACTCTTTCTCAAAGCACCGTTACTTTTCCTAGTGTCTCTTTGCTCTATACTGTCTCTATAAATCCAATTACTGCTATCTCTCTCTCTCTCTCTCCCTCTTTCCGTCTTCTCTAAGCACTCCACGTCTCTCTTTAGCTCTTCCTACACTCTTAAGCTCAACTTTGGTTTGCTCTACATATGATGTACATATCAGAAGGTTTAACTCTATCCATCTCTCTCTTTCTTTTGCAATTTGCCTATGCGATGTGCGTTGTGCTTGTAGTTGTGTGCCCCGTAGTAGTGTGTATTGGCTGCCTGTGGTAGAGTCTTAGCGACTTAGAGTCTTAGTCCCTTTACTGACAATTAACTAATGACACTCACCCCTCACTCGCTCCCCCTCATCCCCCTCAAAACCCGGTTGGATCGTCCTACTCTCCTACGACCAATGGTATGCGGGCCGCAGTGCTGGCGCTGCACGAACAGATATTGAAATGCCCCACGCCTGGCTGTAACGGACGGGGACACGTTCAGCCGCATCGGAGCGTGCATCGCAGCCTGTCCGGCTGTCCGCGAGCTATACGGCGCTTGGCGGCTCGTCGATCGGTGGTCGGGCGCTATCAGTCGATGTGCGTGAGCGTGAGCGATAGCCCGATAGCGATAGCGTTGCCATTGCCATTGGCATTGCCCCTAGCGGCAGGCGGAGTCGATAGTGATAGCGAAAGCGATCACGATCACGATCACGATAACGATAACGATAACCATAACGAAAACACGACAGGTGCGTTCGATCGCCTGTCTCTGTCAAGCAATCAACACTCAAGAAAAATATTCATTACAAAAAACTTTATATCTAAATCAAAATCTAAGAACTTCAACAAAACGTTTTAACAATTTATTTTGCGCTCTCTCCTGTTCCCTCTCTCTCTTTCTCACTATCTCTATTTCTCTTTCCTTACCTGATACTACCTCATCTTCCTATCGCTAACTATATCTATCTCACTCATTCTCTAACTCTCACTCACACACTCTTTCTCTCATAAACTGTCTTCTATATCATCCTATATCAATCTTTCTCCTCTTATACACCCACACACACACACACACTCTCTCTCTCTCTCTCGCTCTGACTCTGTCTCTGTCTCTATATCATTCCCTCACACGTACTCTCCCTCTTTTTCTCTTTCTCTACATATTTCTTTCTCTCATGCACATACTATTTCTCTCTTTCCCTTTCTCTCTCTCTCTCTCTCTCTCTGTCTGTCTGCCTCTCTCTCTTTCTTCCCATCTCTGTCTATCTGTTTGACGCCGTGCGCAGCTGGCGAACTGGAGAAGCATGAGAAGGAGCTGCATGCGCTGGACAAGCTCAAGATCAGCTCTAGCCATTATTTGAACAACAACAACAGCAGCTGCATCAACAACAACAATACGAATAGCAACAACAACAACAACGGCAGCAACAACAAAACGATGCCCATTATCAAAACGGAATACAGTCCGGTGGCCAGCATTAAGTCGGAATATAACAAAAGTCCCATGCACTCGTATTTGGCCAATGATGCCGTTGCAGCGGCCAGCAGCGCAATACCCGCTGGCAGTGCGCGCAGCAGCAACAGCAACAGCAACAACAGCAACAATAACAACAACAACAACAGCAGCAACAACAACAACAATAGCAACACCGAAGCGCATCTGAGTCGCTATGTTAGCATGCAAAGTCCACACGCCCAACATCATCAGCAGCAGCAGCAGCAACAACAGCAGCAGCAACACACGCTGCATCAACAACGCGGACCCTTCATCGAGGGCAATGCCACACAGATGATGCCCGCGGGCAATGCCAGCGCCGGCGACGCCAACGATCCAGCCAGCTATCACTCAGAGCACCAGCAGCAGCAACAGCAACAGCAGCAGCAGCAGGCGGACGAGCGTCAGCAGCAATATGAGCAGATGCGCTATGCGCAAAGCCATGGCCATGATCCGAGCGCGGAGCAGCAACAGTTGCTCGCCAGCAATCCCAGCAGCAGCGAGCTGTCGCCGGTGACGGCGCGCAGTGCCTATGAGCATACGCACCCACATCCGCACTCGCATCCGCATCCGCACTCACATCCGCACACACATCCGCACACACATCCGCCGGGCACAGTGGCGCCCGTGTTCGTCGGCCTCGGCGTCGGCGATTCGGTCAGCGGCGGCGGCGGCGGCGGCAGCGCAGCGGGCTTCGAGCGCTACGATCCGAATTGCTGCCCCAGCGGGGGACAGCGACTGCAGCCGGGCGCCACAGCGGCCACAGCGCCGGCCAACATGTACCACTATCTGCCACAGGCGGCCGACGACCTGCAGGCGCAGCAGCAGAAGTACTTGCAGGAGCAGCAGCTGCTGATGGCCAAGGCCGAGCACGAGGAGCTGGCCAATGGGGGCGGGCCGATCTATCCGCGGCCCATGTACCACTACGATCCGACGATGGGGCCGCTGCCGCCGGGCTTCTCGGCCATTAACTTGTCGGTGAAGATGGCTGCAGCGCAGGCGGCGGCAGCAGCCGCTGCCTATCAGAATCAACAGCAGCAGCAGCAGCAGCAACAACAGCAGCAACAGCAGCAACAGCAACAGCAGCAGCAGCAGCAACAGCAACAACAGCAACAACAGCAGCAGCAGCAACATCTCCAGCAGCAACAGCAGCAGCACAGCAAACAGAGCAGTTCGCCGACGCCAAATGTGGGCGTGGCAGCGCCAGCTGTTGACCTATCGGGCGCCACATCGGTCACATCGTCCAGCCCGCACGGTTTCAACTCGCCAGCCTCGCACAACCAATACAACCAGCGCATGGGCAACGGCAGCCCACAGCCGGGAGCCAGCCCCAACATTGCCAGCCCCCAAGTGCCGAGTCCGCAGGGCCAGACGCTCGATCTGAGCGTGACGCGTTTGCCGCACAGGTAAGACCAAACGAACGGAGGAAGAAGAAGAACCCCTACTCCCGCCTCACCCCATTTACCTAGCATCCAAAGTCCACTCGCCCAGGCTCAACTCGACTTTGCGTTTAGCCTAGATTAATAATATTTTGGTTTAATTACTTGTTAATTACTATTTAATTACTTGTTAATTACTATTTCATTACTTTCATTTGACTCATTTCATATTGTTTTGTGCACTCTCTCGAGCATATTGAATCATTGTCATATATTTCAATAAACACTGCGTCTGACCTCAAGTAACTCGGGCACTAGAAGAGCTAGCGTTACGAAACTTGGTACATCGGCTCCTAGCCTATAACCTATAAGCTTAGTTTTATGTATTCATCTGATATATTCAGTGTTTTTAAGCTAGAATAAGCTACAGTTAAGATATGGATAATTTACTGATATCCTAGATAGATTATATTTAGCTTAATATCTACTTAGACAATCCATAATCATGCATATAACAATTACAATAATCTTTAGGATATAGTATATATATTCAATTATAAGAGATGTCTGGTGAAAAATGTTTCTTGAACACACATATGATCTTTCGAATGCTCAAAAGGCGATTCTATAAGAAACAGTGTATCATAAGTTATCGCTAATGCTTAACTGACCTCAAGGAACTCATTGAGCTTAAGAGCTATGAGGCCAAAATTTTACATCTAGGCTCGACTACATATTCCAATCATTTAAATTTAGACAAGTAAGAAAATACAGTGTTTGAAATATCTCCTTGCTATAGTAAGCTCAACTAACCTCAAGGAACTCAGACACTGAAAGAGTTACATGACCGAAAATTAATGTCTGAGCTCTGCTACGTATTTCCATCGCTGAAACAATTTTAAATCTAAATTATATTAAGCCCTTCGTGCATGATATGAATATAAGTTGACATAGCAGGCAGTCATAATTGGAAGTATTTCCCCTATTAACTGGTGTCCATCTGTTTCTTTGAATAGCATCATCACGAGCCCGCAGTACGGCGCCGACGGCCTTGTTGTGGGCCACGGTCAGGGCTTTGGCAGCGCTGCGCCCGGTTCAATCGGACCGAACGGACCGCCGCGCTCACCACAAATGGAGCCCGTGGACTTTAGCGGACCGCCGCGTCCGCTTGGCTTTGGCCTGGTGGGTCACATCAGCGGGCCGCGTCCATATAGCCGCGAATCGACGCCCGATAGCGGCGGCTCACACTATATCGAAACGTATAGAGATCCGAGCGGTACGTTCCCAATGCCATATCTAATCTTATGATAGCACATAGGTCATATCGTATATCGTATATCATATCATATCTTGTGTTTTACTCCACTGCAGGCTATTCACCACATCCTGGCTATGGCATGGTAGTACAATCCGACTACCCACCAGCTGGCTACCACGGCTATGGCCCCGCCGCCTATCAATGCAGCAATCCGTATGCGACGGCCGTGGGACCCGGCGGCTACCCGACGCCCGTTTCCGGCGGCTACTCACCCAGTCCGGCCACCTGCTACTCGATGCCACCGCCGCAGCACATACCGCAGCACGACAAGACCAAAGATGGGTGAGTCCACTGCACTGCGTGTGCCTCTACCTAATCTAAAATGCAATTAGTGAAAAGTCCTTGATAAGTGCTCTTGATGGACGGTATGTGCCATCCATCTAACAGCATCATTCACTGCGGCTCATCAGTCACAGTCGCTGTCACTGCGCCTGTCCCTGTCCCTGTCCCTATCCCTGTTGCTGTCAATGTGTCGCACAGTGGTTGCAGATGCTATAAGCTGTAGGAAAACCCCTTGAAGCTTTGGGATATGCCAGAGAATGAGACGAAGTGAAAAGTGTGAATCCAATTCACTTTCATATTCCCCTTTTTATGCACTACCAAAGAGACTAAATTGTGGGTACATTGTTTTTGTGCGAGTGTATGTGACAGACAGAAGTAGGCGTGGCATAGCGCCAAAGGATTTAACGAGCTGATTTGATGTATTTACATTCACGTCTACCGTCTAATCACTTGTTGGTCTTACCAGACCGTCTGTCTACATGTCTGCCTATCTGTTGCTCTACTCATCCGTGTATACGTCCGTCTGTCCGTCATTCCCTTTTTTCCTGTACCGGTCTGTCCTTCCATCTATTTTTCAGTCTGTCTGTCTATCTACCGTCCGCCTCTACCCGTCTGTCTTTCCATAAATTCTTCCTTCTGAATTCAGGGTATTTCCTAGTCAGCCACTGACAAATATTAGACTCTGCATTGCTGTGTCACTGTGCACTCGAGTGTGTGTGTGTGTGTGGGTGTGCGTGTGTGTCAACAGCTTCTTAGCTAGCATATTAATGATTGCGACCGTGCGGGCGCAGAGCGCTCATAAAAGCTGCCCAAGCTGGACAGCCGCAAGCCCCAAACTGTGCCACAAGCCAACTTGGAGTTTCCCCTGAAGAATATATCCTTTCCAATTATTTTCCCACTTTTAAATTTAATGAAGCATTACAGGACTTTACGTACTTGTCTTCGTCAAGTTTTAATATGCTCTCTCTCTCTCTCTCTCTCTCTCTCTCTCTCTCTCTCTCTCTCTTAGCTTAACGGGCTGCTCGCGCTCGGATCGCAATCATTTGCAATCGCATTCACAGGAGCTAAAGTGCCCGACGCCTGGCTGCGATGGCTCTGGCCACGTCACTGGCAACTATTCATCGCACCGCAGTCTGTCCGGCTGTCCGCGCGCCAACAAGCCGAAGAGCAAGCCGCGCGATGGCCAAGACTCGGAGCCCTTGCGCTGCCCCATACCCGGCTGCGATGGCTCCGGCCATTCCACCGGCAAATTCCTCTCACATCGAAGGTAAGCAAACAGCAGACAGCCAACCAAATTCGAGCTCCCTAACGGTACTTGGATCTATTATTCTCTTGCGTCGTCTACTCCACACAGCGCATCGGGCTGTCCCATTGCCAATCGCAACAAGATGCGCGTTCTGGAGGCCGGCGGCACGGTGGAGCAACACAAAGCCGCAGTTGCAGCTGCTACGGCCATGAAATTTGACGGTGAGTCGACTAGAAATCGGACAAAGAACTAGGGGAATTTAACATATAGAAAACTTTTCAATTCAAAAGTGAGTGTGGATAGGTTAGAATTTAGCTAACAGATCTTAGGTTGAGAATTAGCTATGGCCCAAATCTTAAGCTATACAGACTGACCCAACAAGAGTGCTATTACTTTCGATAACTCTAATATCTTTTCAAGTTATCGATAACAGCTTACTGTTTGAATATTCTATGAAATTTGCCATCTTATCAGCAAAATGTCTTACGCTTGCTAAACGCTTGATTTCAACTTCCATATCCCAATGGGGCTTGTCTATATAAGTCAAATATTTCTAATATACTATGTCGTAGTCAAATGAAACTCGCATTCGAGTGCACACGAAAACCAGAAACCAGGCTTTACGTTACTTTTGAATAGAATTATTGAGGAAGAGACACTTTAGAAGAATGTGGGGAATATTTAGCAACAATGATCAATGAACAATAAATGATGATCAATGATCGGGGATCAATGAGCAATGAACAGTGATCAATAAAAAATAACCATTGATCTATAGCTTCGAACTTTGACCAATGATTAAGGATCAAGTGATAAATGGTCAGTGATCAATGATCTAAGATCAGTGATCAATGATCTAATGATATAAGATCAGTGATCAATGATCTAATGATCTAAGATCAGTGATCAATGATGTAAGATCAGTAATCAGCTATCAACACATTCATTATCTAATACTAACTTGACTCTTCTAACTCTCATTTTCTTTCTCATTATCTTCCTCCCTCTCTCTTCACATTTGTACCTCTTCTTCGCCTCTTCTTCTTCCTCTATTTCTCTCTCTCTCTCTCTCTTTCGTTCTTTGATACTCCCATTTTGTAGCCTGCACCACAGTTGGCAGCCAAGGCATCAAGAAGCCCAAGTTCGATGAGGTTACCATGGTATATCCCAAAGGCTACACAGGTAAGTGTGAGCACCAAAGCTCACTATCAAGCTTCCTATTCCGCTCTCCTCTCTCTATCTTTCTCTCATTCTTTCTCTCTCTATCGATCTTTGCATCTCTATATCTATTTTGCCCAATCTAATGGCCTTTCTATTAACATAGTTCAAGTCTTTTGCGTGTTTTTCTATTATGAATCTGGGCTTACAATGGTTATTATGCCCCAACTATTTTCTTCACATGCTGGGGCATCATAACATTTACATCAAGTTGCCAACACTAACAGAGGAAAGCAGCTCAAATTTCAAGCAGAGAGTGATATATACAGTTATATATTGTGTATATTTGCTTAAATATAGTCAGAAACCATTAGAAATGAGTCAAGTTATTCAAAATAGATTCAAATATGGTTTGAAGGGTGATTGAAATATGATTTGAAATATGATTCAAATATGCTTTAAACTATGATTCAAAATAATTTGATACATAATTGAAATATAAATATGTATATATTAGCATATGATTAAAATATTTCAAATATGAATCATTATTCAAATATGGTTTAAAAATTACCTGCCCATTATGATTTGAAATATCATTCAAATATGATTCATTGATATGATTCAAATACAAAATAAATTTAATTCGAATACAATTCATGTATGAATCATGTGAGATTCCATTTGAGACATGGCTTAAATTTGCTGAAAAATATGAATCAAATATAAATATAAATAAATATAAATATATAAATATATTCTTTTCGTTAAATTTGGTATATTTTAAATACCAAAAGATGGATTCTGATTATGCTCTGGAAATTTGTGTTTTGCCCTTTCGAAACTGCAATTTGTTGTTGCTTTCCTCTTTCTCTTACTCGCTCTCTCTCTCTCTCTCTCTCTCTCTCTCTATCTTTCTCACTCTCTTTCTATCTATCACTCACACTCTTTGTATATATCTGTGTGTCTTTGCGCTCTCTCGTATTGTACATTTTCGGTTGGAATTTTGTGTGCGTGTGTGCTAACGTCTAACAGAACAACAAACAAAGAAAAAAAAAATACTTTCGTTTTGGCTTTGGTTATGGTTTCGGTTTTTCGGAATGTGCCAGGCAAAACACAAAAAAAAAAAAAAAAAAATGCGAAAAAAAGAATACCAAAATATACCAAAAAGAAATTTAATTTTGAAATGCGTGCATTTGTTTTATTCTGCAAACAAGCTCAAGCGTACCAAAATATACCAAAATTGACCTTACGACAGACGACAGGGCCAAAGGAAAAGTAAAGTAAAAGAAAACAGAAAAAAATATACAATATCAATAAAAAGCCGGTGCATAATATTAATTCGATGCCCGATACAATGCAATACACTTACTAAAATACTAACTAACGCTTATACTATACGAAAACTCTATATATATTCACCAATATGTATGCAACCGTTCACAAATTGTTATTTAAATCCGTTTATCTTCTTCTTTTTCGTTTCGTTTCATGGTTTTTGCTTGTTTGGCAAATGATTTCTTTTAGATTACGCGACGTTTTGTATCGGTGCCGAGTATCTACTGTAAATAGTAAAACAAAAACAAAACCAAACTCAAGAGTATTTAAGAACAAACAAAAAAAAAAAAAGTATAGAACAGAGACAAGCAAAAGGCAGAAAAATATTTAAAAAAAAAAAAAAAAAATCAAAAATCAAAAAACCAAAAAAGACAAGAACAACAACAACAAGAACAGCAACAACAACAACCATAAGTTCACACAAGCAAAAATGAATTTAAGTAACAAACAAATTGCACAAGAATCGAACCCAAGGTAAGCCGTGATATTTGCTATCTCACTCACACACACACAAAACACACACACACACACATGCTCACTTGCTCTCACTCACACACACACACACACATGAAAGCTCCAATTGAGTTGCTAGCACACGCGCACATAGACAACCGTGGAGAGCTTTTGTAAAACAAGAAAATAAAATTATATTTTAATATCGATCGAGTTCCACATCAAAGAGTAAAAAAAAAACAAAATATTTTAGCGAGCGTCCATCACTAATGACAAGTCTCTCTCTCTCTCTCTCTCGCTCTATCTTTCTCGTTCGGTCTCTCTCTCTCTCACATTCGGTCTCACTCTCCCTGTCTGCTCTTTGCTTTACATCACGCCTTCTGCTCTCTTCCTGCTTTAGGCGGCAGCGGCTTGGATATTGTTATGAGCGGCGTTGGCGTCGGTGTCGGCGTCGGCGTCGGCGTTCCTTTGCCGCCTGGCATCAATAGCAACAACAGCAGCAGCAACAACAATAACAACAACAACAGCAACAACAACAACAGCAGCAACAGCAGCAGCGGCGTCGGCGATAAGACGTCCGTCAATGTGGCCGGCGGCAGCGACGATCTGAACACTCTGGAAGCGGAAATATCGGAATTGCAGCGCGAAAACGCACGCGTCGAATCCCAAATGATGCGCCTCAAGTCGGACATCAACGCAATGGAGTCGCAGCTGAGCACCAGCGATCGGGTACGTAGGCTCAGGTTCGTTGATCGCAACAAATTTTGAGTATTTTATATAATAAAAAAAAATAAATAAAAAAAAAATATTTAAACTTGAAAAAGGACAAACATTATTATGAATACTAACAGTAACAGTAATATCAACAGTAACAGTAACAGCAAAATATATTGATATAAATTAAACCCTTTTTTATGATCTTACGAAGATGAAAATCAATGAAAATGACTAAATGAGTTGTCTGAAAAGCCTAAGCAAGAACTTAGCAAAGCTTGAATAGAATACTAATCTTAACAGTGCTAGTAACAGCAATGTAAATGTAGTCTGAATAATTTTCGAGCAAGAGAACATATTTTATGAGAATCAAATTTGATGTATATATTCTCTAGACATGAATTGACACAAGCTGTCCAGCAACAGCAAAAGCAACAGTAACAGCAACAATAACAGTACTTTAACAGCCATAGTAATAATTCCCATCTCAATATTGATAAAGTCTGAAATGCATGCTTTGTCACAGAAATCAACAGTTTTTGTGCAACTTTGAGTTGTTTACATGGCTTTAACAGCAAACTAACATTAACAGTGACCGTAACAGCTGCAGCAAATGCTATAACCTCAATTAAGTGGGCCAATTACCTAGGTTGACTTGCCGCTGTTGGTCATGCGCGATTGCGCAGCGAAAGTTGCGACTTTGTCTGCAAGTTTGCTGCTTCTTCTTCTTTCGTTTTGTTTTTGTTGTCGCTTTTTTTTTTTTTTTTTTTGGCACCTGAGCCGCTGCTTTTCTAAGTTGCGGCCACTTTTCAAGGACGTCTCTAAACTCCAAAAAACCCAAAAGCAATAATAAGGCATGTGTTAACAACAACAACAACAACAACGAGAACAACAGCTAACTGAAGAAGAAGAAAAAGTATAAAAGAAAGCTTAAACAAGAACAACAATATTGTGGAAAAGTCGGCGCAAAAGTCGCCAAACAAAAGTTTTAGCAGCCGCCGCCGCCGCCATTGCCGCCTTTGCCGCGCCGTCGACGTCGTCGCTGCTTGGCTTGGCAAATGTACTTTTTAACCCAAAACATGGCCAAAGAAAGTTGGGCGACGTCTGCTGGCAAGCGAAACTTTTATTATATTTAAATTATCGCGCCCTGGCTGTTGCACAAATAGCAAAGTTATGTTTTCGCCTCGCTTTGCTTCGCTGCTTCAACTTCCGTTTTCACTTGGAAATTGAGCATTAAGCATTTTTCCTGATATTTTGTTGCTATGCTTGCATTTGGCATTTCGCATTTCACATTTCGCATTTGGCATTTAGCATTGCTGCTTTGGCTGGCCAATGATCGAGTGCAGCGACCTCTGTCGTTTGTCATTGCAAGGCCGTTATTCAAAATGGTGGCACGACGCCAGCAGCCAATCGGCGTTCGCTTGCAGGCAGCTGCTGCAGCCGCTAGTCGACTGCATTGAGCGACGAATCAGCGCGCAGCAGCTAAGGCAGCGCCACCCCTAAAACGTACATTTCACCTCCCACTCTACGCATGCCAGGTCCCTAAATACACACATACACACACATGTGTGTGTGTGTGGTCATGCGCAGGCAGCTGCAGCCATGGGTGTGGGCCTCTCCGCCTACCCAGTCAATAGAGTCGGTCTCTGGATATTCATCCGTCTGGCCGCTGTCAGTCGCAGTCGGCACCAAAAACGATGCCGAGGCAGCAAATCGCAGAGCGCCATTCGATTTGCTGTTGCTGCTCCTAAAACGCCAGCTTGTCAGCTACCCCGCTGCAAACTGTGCTACGACGCCAGCGCCAGCAGCGACGCTGACTGCGTAACCTCTGTGGCCTCAGCACGAGCTCCTATGAGAGCGAACAGAAAAAAAATACAACAAACGTTTGATGTGGAAAGAAAAAATGCCCCAGAAGCAGAGGCAAGGCAGCGACTGCGACTGCGACCGCGACAGCGGCAGCGGCAGCGACAGCTTTAACAGCAGTTGGCTGCCTCGGCTGGCTCCCGCGCTCTTGCTCTTGCTCTTGCCTTTGCTTTGGCTCTCTCTCGTGCTCGCACTCGCTCTCGCTCAAGCTTGCCAGCGCACTCACACGAGGTGTTTTCGTGTGCATTCGGCATGCGCTCGTGTGTTTGTGTGTCTGTTTGCTGAACGTATTTTTTTCCTTCTTTCCTTTGTGCTGTTATTTTTTCGGATTGCTGTATTTTTTTTTTTTTTCGAATGCTACTGGCCGGGCGTTCTTATTGGAATTTCAATTTGGGCGCGCGCACACATACGCAGTCTTTCATGCACACACATACGTGTATCTCTCTCTCTCTACGTGCGTGTGTGTGTGTGTGTGTGCAGCAGCACCTCAGCAAATTGAATTTGAGCAATTGGCAATGGCAGAACGTATCATTGAATCAATGAATCACAATCGACGCACACTCCCACACACACACAAACACATATATATACACATATGTAAAGCGGCAGCCAATGACCAAGCACTAATACAAATGCATCTCTGTCTCTCTCTCACACACTTGCAGGAGGCTTCTCCATTGAGTGCACATCAGCAACATCAACAACAGCAGCAGCAGCAGCAACAACAGCAACAACAACAACAACAGCGACCCACAGCTTCATCGCTGGCCTCACCCAGCGGCCAGTCACCGTTCGCCGGCGTCTCATCCACCACCAGCGGCAGCGGCATTGATCTACTGCCCAGCGGCATGTCGCACGTCTCCGCCGACAACGGCGGCGTCGGCGGCGGTCCGCCCAATGCCAATCTGAACAACTACTACGAAAGTTTGCGCAACAATGTCATCACATTGCTGGAGCATGTGCGTCTGCCACCACCGCCGCCGCCGCCGTCGTCGTCGACGCTGCCACCAGGCGCGGCGCCAGGCTCCGGCATGGACAATGGCTGTGCCGCCGCCATTGGCGTGCAGCTGAGCGCCGAGCATCATCACACGTCAGCCGCGGCTGCAGCTGCATATTCGACGCTGCTGCCGCCACCGCCGCCGCCGCCACTGCCGCTGCCGCCAACATCGGCGTCGTCGGCATCAGCGAGCAGCGCTGCAGCGGGCACGCCCATGTATGGACATCAGGGAGGCGGCTCAGCCGTTGCACCGCCGCCACCGCCGCCGCCACCGCACCATGCCTATACGGTGCATCATCCTGGCGGCTATCCGCACGGACATCCGCATGCGCATCCGCATCCGCACGAGCACTTCGACTCGTACATCTCGAAGCTGCAGTCGCTATGCGTACCGCCCGACGTCTACGCTCTGCCCGATGATGGCGGACGGCCCGTCTACAACTCCGTAAAGCCGAGCATGCACCAGGACTACGGCAAGCTGATGCCCACGCCCATTTAAGGCGTGTTCGGGTTGCGTCCGTGTGTACATAATACCATAAGTAAATTGCACTGATCATGAATCATTGTGATTCATAATGCTTCAATCTACATAGTAAATGAGTTTTTCAGTTTGGATCATGGTTGGTGAGTCATGAATCATTTGGCAAATATGGGTTATGAATCAATTTTGTTCATCAAATTACTTCCTGGTTAAGTTTAGCTGAGGGAATGCACCATTTAATCAATAATGAATCGATTGAGTTATGCATTTCTTACACAATTTTTGCATTGGAATCATCTGCTTCAGAAGCTATCAGTCTTGAATGATGTACTTGGAATCATCCAAATCATTGTGAATTGTTAATCAAAATTAATATAATGCAACTTGAGTGCAATGAATCATTACGCATGAATCATGAGAAGTGAATCAATAATCATGAATTACAAGCTATGAGCCATGAGCTACGAATTAGGAGCTATAAACTAGGAGTTATGAGTCACGCGTTGCATGATTCATGATTCATGAAGTGTGATTCGTGAATCGTAGCTTGGAGTCCCTGACTTGCAAAAGAAATTAACTCAGACTCATGCAAAACATCAGCAATGTTTGACTGATGTATCACGAATCAAAGGCTATGAATCATAAAATTCGATACTGCCTCCTGAAAATCTATAATTTTTGTTTGTTGTAATTTATGATGCAATTGTTCACTTGAATCTTTACTAACATACACAAATCATGATTATATTCAATCGAATCCAATGATTTCTGATTGAATCTGTGTAAGCCGATAAGATAAGATACATTATAGATATAGGTAACGTATAGAGATGTTGAGAGACGTTAAGTATAGCGTAGATTGAGCTGTTCCACGTTTATGTCCTAGGCGCTTCATCGTGTTGATAAATTGTATAAATATGCTAGCAAAACTAAAATCTAAACTAAAACTGAAACAAAACTAAATCTAAATATAAATGTGTTGTATTTTTTTTTTATTAGTAACCGTATCTGTATCTGTATCAAATACTAACTAGCAGTTAAATATAGTAGAAGTACATTGGTTTTTTTTTTTTTTTTTTTTGTGGTGTTTAATGTCTGGTCAATTTTGTATTGCAAGAAAAGCATGAAGAAGAAAATGAAATAAAGAGTAAAAAAATAAATAAAAACAATACCAAAATTATTAAATTTAGTTAGCTGTACGAAAAGGTCTAACACCAAAACAAAAAAGAGCAAATTATATATATATATATATATACGTATATATGTATATGACATGCAAATATAATCAACAGTAAACTAACGTTTTTTTTTTATAATCTTAAATTCTAGAACTTATATATATATATATATTTAATATAATCAACTACAAATACTAAGTACTGACAAATATGCACAGGAAAACACACACACACATGCACACACTCGCACACGTATACACACAAACACTTCCACAACTACGCTATATAGACAACTATATATATGGTATATATATACATAAGTTTTAATGTTTAAAAATAAACAAAAAATTAACAAAGAAAAATCTTTAAAAAAAAAAAACGTATTCGATATCAATGCAAGCAAGATTTATTACAGAAAAAGTAAGTTGAAAAAAAAAAAACTAAATAAATAAATAAACTTCAGTGCAATAAATAAAGAAAAGAAATGGAAAATGTTTAAAATTAAGTAAAAGTAGTTGACTTTTTTTTTGTATTGTATTACGTACTTCTAAATATACATATGTATAACTAAATATAAAAAATAATAATTATATTACAAAAAATACCATAAAAATACCAAAAACAAGAACAAAAAGCGTAAGGAAATTTAGACGAATTTTAAAACAAAACAGAAAAAAAATAAATAGCAGGCTTAAAAATCATTGTATTTAAAACAAAAATACCAAACACAACATAAAAAGTAACTAAAAAACTATAAATATACGATTATAAATAAATATATAATATATATGGTATATATATCATACATATTATATATATATATATATGATATTTATACATATATGTAATATGTATTGTATAACAAGAATTCTGTAATTTATAAAATATTTTATGTGATCATTGTCATTTTTTTTTTTAAATATAATATTACAAGAAATAAATAATTCAAATACAAATAAAGGATATATAAATATATCTGTATGTTTTTGCCATTTAGCGTTGTTTTGAAGTTGTGATTCACAACCAAAACGCTGCCCTCGACCCAATTTCCTGTGTGCCACGCCCCGAATAAGGGATGTCAACAGTAGAGTTCGCATGTTAACTTTGATTTGTTTAGCTCTAAAACTGTAAAAGATATAGTTTTGCCCGATGGGTGTAGATATATCCGCCATATTTCATTGATATTGGACTGTCAAGTCTCTAGCATTGATACATTAATTACATACATTATTTACACATACATAAATCGATTACATATAAAAATAAAAACCCTTCGCTAGGCACGAGTCCAATTCTCATAATTTCCACAACCAAAACTGACTTGACCTGAGTTCGTACCTCAGGCAGACAGCGCGGCTCTCAGCATTTCAGTCCGCGCCTCAACCCACGCCGCCATTGCACCAGCTGCCTAAGCGGCGACAAATGTCAGCCTAACGAAGCAGCAGGTAAAGCAAAAAGTATTGTATTTATAGCAGCCAATCAGCATGCACACAGCTGAATGTAAGATCGCAATAACTGTTCTCTTTATACACAGATTGCCAATGGGCGAGCGAGCTTTTGAATGCGTGCGATAGAGGGCGCTAGAGCGATTTTTTCGTTTTACGAGAAGCGTTTGCTTTCGTAACTTTTTTGTTTCTCAACGAACATCTATGAAATTTTCAGCAGTGAGCCTTAAAATATGAGTGAATTCTCTAATTTAAATGCGAAATTTGCAATTTATCAAAATGAAAGTAAAGTGAAGGGCATGCGAGATGTGCTGGAATGGCTAAAGATCGAAAACTTTTTAAATGGACTGCAAGGAAATGGAAGGGGTCAACGTTTAGATGAGACTAAGCTGAGCTGCGCTTGATATAAGGACATCTGTATATTCAACTGTAGCAAGATTAAATCATTCATATAGAAGGAAAGTCGAACTTAATACAGTTAGATGTGACTCAGCTTGCTTGGGAGCTAAGAACTGGCATATTATTTAAAAGCAATTTTTATTGCATTAGCCCAAATCACATAAATCACAAGTAAAAGACGAAGAAGAAGCAGAGGCACGGGAGCAGCAATCAAAAATGAAAACTGAGCCAGTTTTCGAGAATACATTTTCATTTTCATTTATATTTGTTGTTTTTTTTTTTTTTTTTTTTTTTTTTTTTGGCAACGTTTTTAATTTCAATTAGCACGGCGACAATAAACCGGAAGCTGCAAGGGAAGATTGGTCAAGCTAACAAGGACGGGGGCTGGGGTCAGCTGGAGGTAAAAAAAAGGGGAAAATGGTTTTTGCCTTTGCTTGGAAGCCACTTGATTTATGTGGCTTCATTAGACATTCCGCACATAGCCAAAACTAGAATGAGAGAGAGAGAGCGAAAAGGAGCGACAGCAAGAGAGAGAGGACAAATGTGAGCTAAGTGATTGCAAAAAAAAAAAAGAACTAAATGCGTACAATTAGAACGGCTAACAGTCAAACGCATTACTTTGTAATGCCTGGCGGCAAGGGAAAAGGCATGCCCCTTGCGTAGTGGAGTAGTTTTGATACCCAGTACCGATAAACGGGGTATATGCGTCTTGTGCAATTTTATGTAACAGTCAGCAGGGGGCATAGCAGGGGCTATAAGAATATATATTTCTGATCAGATCGACACGATGAACCCATTCGTCTGCCCCTCTGACGGCCCCTTCCTTTCATCCGTTTCTTCTTCAGTCTGATTCTTCATCAATCCTTGTCCTTTCATGACCGTTCACCTCTCCTTCTGTTCATCATTCTATGCCTTTGTCCGCACTTCTGTCTCTCCGTCGTTGCATTCGTCCGTCCTCTCTCCTAATCCGCCTCTTTAAACGCATCCATCTCATTATCTATAAAAGCTAATGAGCTGAAACTTTAGATATTCCCGTAAGTTGGACTCGGCGCTAATGTCGCCTTCTCTTTTAATCAATAGCTTTACCTTTTCCGTATGAAACATAAAATGAAAGATAGCCACACATTTCAAAAACGTGTCGAGCCATTGGCAAGGTATTTCATAGTTGGGCATACCCAGCGAGAGTGCTTTAGTTGCCGTTAGTTTGAATATTGACCAGCCTGGAATATTTTTGGTTGCCATCAAAACAGTTTGAAAAAAGGACCGCAAACAACTGCCAATGTGTGCGAATGTGTGTGTGTGTGTGGGCGAGTGTGTGTGTGTGTGTGGTCTATAAAAAGGTTCGCTGTTTGTTCGTGTGAGCCGCAAAAATATTTGCATAGTTACCTTTAATGTGGTTCGACAACGTTTTAGACTTCAAATTTGCGGATGGGCGGATGGGTGCCAAACGGGGCGTCGCGGGGCGGCAAGGTGAGGCGTTGAGGGGGCGTGGCATTGGGCAATGGGGCAAAGGGGCAAGCCTGCTGTCAATAGACGCCAGGCAAAAGTTCTTCAACAATATAAACGGAACAAAAGTTTTCTTTACACACACACACGCACACACACACACACGCACACACACACACACACATACATGCATACACTTGCTGCATGTAATTTAAAATGAAAAATTCTATTCTTTTGACACACACTCACACACACACACACACTTAGCACAACAAGCATTGATTTCATTTGCATAAATAAGAGAAGAAGAAGAAGAAAAAAGTAAAGAGAATTTTCATTAACTGACGTAAATCCCCGCCAGACATCTGCCAATTGCAGTCATACATACATACATATATCTGTATGTGTGTGTATATAATATCAGTAACAACTCTATAGCCTCTATGTGGCGTCTATACAGTATTAAAGTCCTATATTGTCCTTGATGTATCAAAGACTTTATAATCGAATATATTCAACAAGAAAGTAAAATCTTTATCAGCAAAAAATTAAAAAATAAAATTTTTGTTTTTTTTTGTTTGAGTAATTGAAAAAAAAACATATTTTTAATTATTAAAATGAATTTTTATGAAAAAAAAGCAAAAATAATTATTACAGATCAATTTGTATATCAAAATCAAATCATAACTCTTATTTCCAACTTTTATAATAAAAATTAGTTTTTATAATAAGTAGCAAAAATAATAGTTATTTATTTTAATTTATTGAATAAATTTAATTTATCTAATAATTTTTATAATAAAAAATAAAAATAGAATTTATGGCTTAACTTTTATTATAAAAATTGAAAGTAAACATTAAATCGATTATGATTTTTATCATAAAAATTAATTTTCATAATTAAAAATAATTTTTTGATAAAAAATTGCAAATATAAAATTATCCTTTTTTGAGTTTGCCATAGAAAATAACTTATGTGTGTTTTTCCCTCTCTTCTTGGAGGTTGTTTTGAACCTCAATTTTTTTAAATTCATAACTCTTATTTGCACACCCTGATCTTTATATATCTAGCGACTGACGCATCTAGTGTACTACTACTATCCTTAGTTGTATTTCGGCAGTTCCTAATATTATCAATAATAATTAAATATTTAAGACTTCTACAAGCTATATCATTTAGTTATAGTATGAGATACGTTTACACATAACATAGAAATCGAAGATTCCAGTTCACTATCGTCGACGTCTATATCTATATCTATATCTATATCTATATCTATATCTATATCTATATCTATATCTATATCTATATCTATATCTATATCTATATCTATATCTATATCTATATCTATATCTATATCTATATCTATATCTATATCTATATCTATATCTATATCTATATCTATATCTATATCTATATCTATATCTATATCTATATCTATATCTATATCTATATCTATATCTATATCTATATCTATATCTATATCTATATCTATATCTATATCTATATCTATATCTATCTATATCTATATCTATATCTATATCTATATCTATATCTATATCTATATCTATATCTATATCTATATCTATATCTATATCTATATCTATATCTATATCTATATCTATATCTATATCTATATCTATATCTATATCTATATCTATATCTATATCTATATCTATATCTATATCTATATCTAT